AAGTTTTATGCTAGGTATTAATTGCCTGTATTTTGTACTGCAAACCTATATCCACACCGTTTTACCGTATGTCGGCACTGACTTAAAAATTAATAACAATAATACATAATATAAATACATACTTTTAAAATAATTAAATATTAATAATATAATAAATGCAATATTTCCTGAAACAATTAATTCAACCTACCGCATTACTGATAGCAAAATACTATGATAAAAGCATAAATATATCTGAGAATATACTTAGTAAAATATGCTGACAGACACGATCTTCGTTGAGTATCGTTTTTCGTATGCAATGATTTGTCATTGAATTTGAATTTAAATATATCACATACATAACAGTGACTTACTCAATGACGAGGTACACTCAACACGGCTAAAGTCGAATTGCACTTATTTTAGTCTCATTGCACTTGATTTAGTTGTACCCATAGCTGTTCCAACAATAACGTCATGCATGAATAGGGGTTAAACATTTTGAAAACACTCGTTCCCTTCCCATTTACAGGCTTAGGACAGACAATGATTTTAATAATTATTTTAAGAGTTTGTATCTACCTATATATAATTAAAAATTAAAAATAAATTATTAATAATAATTATATATTATTGTTAATATTATTATTAATCATTAATCATTAATTACTTATATTAATATGACTTATATAAATAAACAGTAACAAAAAGATCTGACCAAAAAAAAATTGATGCTAGTTAAAAGTATGACAACAATTGTGAAAATTATGTCGATAGGTAATAAATAATTTAAAAATTAAGTTTCTCAAGACTAATATTTTGAAAAAACTATTATGTCTTGATTAAATTTATTCCAAAAAAATGTAATATTTTAAAAATTCTAAAAAATAATATACTTTATAACTTATCAATGTTTTTGCCATTAAAATATATAATTATATACAGTAATATCATATTTTCAAAAAAAAATACCAACCAAATTTTTTGAATTTTCATTTTCAGTTTCAAGAAATATAAATTAAAAAAATTATTCTATAAATATAAATTTTATAATTTATGAATTTTTTAAAAGAAAAACAAAATTTATTATTGACCATAACAAAAGTTATTGCATTAGTCATTTCTTTCTGTTACACCCTGTGTAATATGTTATAAATAAGACATAATATTTTTTCAAAGCGTTATTTAAAGTTATACAACTATTACTATCTATTATTTTTAATTGTTTTTTGTAGTAATTATAAGAGACTGAGTTCAAAATTCTTATCTGGTATTTGATTTTTATCATACAAGTTAATATATTTTTGAATTTCATTTATTTTTTCTGGTATCTTGTGGTTGAAGGTCTAGGTAAGTTTACCTACTGCAATATCTGTTTGTGTTATAAACTTCAAAAAAAAGCTGTTAAAATAATATATTATTATACTGGTACGTGAATAAAACCGTATCTTTACTGACTATACTAACCTATTGATGTAAGTACTTTTATACATTTTTGATAAAATAAGCATTACTTGGATAAGTAGGTACCCCAAAATGAATAAACCAGCTCACTGTGATATCTACATTAAAATTTCACTATAAATATAGGTAGTGGATACATTGCACATAAATACATATTTAATTGAAATAAAATATAAGTGTAATGTGTTATAATGTTATATCGTAAAAACAAATAAAAAAACACTTCATGAAAAATACAATGTAGGTAATTAAGTTATGTTGAACAAGGGTATAAATGAAAGTGTATTTCTTTTTATAGCCTACTTCATATTATATCTATATACATTTTATTTTCATATACCTACTTAGTTTTTACTTTACTTTTAATTTGAAAATAAGTGTATTACGGGTATCATGGAATCAAACTTTAAAAACGTCAAAGAACGCCGAAAATACGAAATTACGAACCGTTATTTTTTGTGTACATAAAACGTTTTTGTATGGGGTGTCATTTCAAACACAATAATAAATTAATATGTATAATAATAGCGGATATTATATTGGCGACGGTAGCGGTGAGTGCTAGCACTAAAAAAACCTTCCTTGTTGTTAAAAAAAAACCGCATTCGTAATAATAGTACCTCTACCTACATATTACCCGAATATAATATACAATATGTACCTAATATTACCTATGTTGTGATATTTGTTTTAGGTATCATAAATTCCCCCCGGCCGTAGAAACTAGGAGATCTGTCGATTATACTGTTGATCGATCGTAATTGTTAGTTCGACGTCCTTAGGGATTATACATAATATATCATTATTATTATTATTATTATTTGGAGTGTAATTTTGTAAAACCATAAACAAAAGGATATGATGATAGATATATATGTTACGGGCAAAGTGGGGTAGTCTAGCGTTGTGCACAATGCCTAATTTTAGAGGTTAAAGTGAAAATAAAACACATTGCTCGGACATTATGTGAAATCGCGATGGCCGAATGCCTCAATGCGCGAAGGGTAATGTATGCTATCATGTATAAAACTATAACTATTATATTTATTTATTTATTATTATTGATTAGAAACATATTGGTATGCATATTGCATAGTAATCGTAATTTATTTTTTTAGTACAATAACATTAGAAAGTCGCTATATTTATTTATTTGAGCTGGGATTGCTACTGGGGCACTTAAATTTACACAGTTTAACTGCTGCTTTACTTTTTTGTTTCACTCTTCTGCGTGCAACCACATATATCATATTCTTAACCACCTAAATCAGAATTGTGTCAAACTACTTCTGTTAATGGAATTATGTTTTCAGGTGCTTCGTCGGTCGTAATAAAAGACTTCATGCATAACTTAAATTGGTCACGACTTTACATTCGATTTTTCTTTCCTTGAAAGCAACCTACCCCTGATTTTTTTTATTGTACAAGAACTTTAAACGTCTATTAAATTCGTTTTTCATAGTACCTATAAGATTCGAAAAAAATGTAATAAAATATTACAAACGTCAACAAACAGTCTGAACACAGTATTAAAACCTGCAGTATTGGAGTATTGTTCAGATAATTGTAGATAAGTACCATAGATGTATAAAACAACAACTAGATAGAGGACTGCATATTATATTCCCACAGGAACGTTGAAGCCGTGCGGCCATATGTCAACAGGGTAATGTTTAAAAAATAACTCAATAGATAAGATACCTATACATATTTATATGGTATATATATTACAAATATATGTATATTATCAATCATGCAATTTTGCCCTGTTGGCATATGGCTTCCGACTTTAATATTATCCTGTAGTCGGCTATCTAGTTGTTTTATATGTCTATATGACAAGTACCCACATCATAACCAAAGCTTTCGGAATCATAATATCAGAGTAATAAAAATAATATTGATAGACTAGATAACTACAGGAGAACTTGTATTACAACTCCTTACTCCACATCAATTTCATAGTGGGTTATGTGAACAACGAACATGATACTATTTTTGTGCCAAAAAATAAAATATATATACCTATGATAGTAAATAGAGGGAGTTTACAGCATACAGATAAACTCGCTCAGCTGTATAACAGGTGTCGAGTGTACCTCGTCATTGAGTATCAACAATTCTACACTCATTTTACAGTACATTTTTACAAAAAAATTACCAAAAGTATGTCGGGCAATCGAAATTGTCCAGGCATTGTTATAGAATGACCGGTTATAGTAAACAATTATTACCAACTGATTACTTTAACCGAAACAGTCCGAAACTAATGGGCACTGTGCACAATACCCGACTACCCCACTTTGCCCGTAACATTTACAATACAACTAGATGGCCGTCTAGCCGTCTCCTTATCAATGAAGTCAGCCACCATTTACAAAGCAGTCAAATGTCAATGTTTACAAAACAATGTTATCACAGTATAAATGCAAAATAAATGTGAACATTGCGTCATTGCCTGTCGGCTATTTTATAAATGGCAGCCGACTCAACACCGGTCACAACTATATAGTATAAAGACGACTATCTAGTTGTTGTTATGTCTATGGATAAATATTATAATTTATTAAGTGGTTCAGTGAAGCTATACTATAATGTGTTCCATTTAACTCTTACTTTTTTTAAAACCATTTCCTGTATTATAATGAAACAAGTTTTATCGTAAACTATATTTAACTTTAATTACAAACGTTTTGAGATTAGCCATATCTTTTTATACAACAAAACTTCTCTTAGCCTTTATGAAAAATGTATGCGTTTTGCATTTTAATAAATGTTGATTATTCATCCTTTTATTATTTACTTAAATGTTCGAATTTTGTCGCTTAATATTTGACTTCTGAAGTACTTTTAAGATTTTCTCTGGAATTACATACACATACTGAGTATAATAAACTTCAATATACAACGATTAAAAAACAAGATATACAAACAACCTATTTCTTTCGAACTAAAATATTGTCCCTTCTTGTAAATGATCAGATCAAAGAAAGTATGAACACAAAAATTTGAATCCACGAGAACTACATCACGGATTAAACTATATTGTACTTCTCAGATAATATACACACTACCTACTTTTTTTTGATACTGCTAACGCGTTTGCGAAAAAAATATTTAAAAGAGAAAATCAGCTGACATTGAAAAACTATAAAACACATTTTTTCGTAAATATTAACAAATAATTTTAGGACCTTAGAACATATTATTAAGGTTCCCGCCCACCTCAAGCCCGTATTTCTAAAAAATTGTATATTGTCAATAACAAAATTACAAAAAACTATATTATAATATCAAAAGTTTTCTGAAAATTGTGACTTAAGTAACTAAAATAAAGCCAAATTCCGAAGAATGTCTCGAGAACTCCTCCCCTCCCCCCACCCATAGCTGTGGAAACGATAAAAATCGAAGATATTAATGATATTGATAGTTTCCAAAAGAATGAAAATAAATCAAAAACGTATGGGACGTATTGTTTTAGGACCGTCACGCGGTGTCGGCTATCATCAACTGACCGTATTTACGATACCTATATAATATTATTTGTTGTGCAGGATGACGACTTCAAATACTTTGTGGAACCTGAAATCCGTTGGTATCACCACTGCAGTGGCGCGTACGCGGTACTCGGGCTGGCCGTCATGGCCTTGGGAGCAATAGCAATGGCCGCCGGTCACCTGATACCGGCCAAAGACCCGGTGGTCGGCCGGTCCGTCCACATGGAGGTGATCGACCGAAGGGCTGTCTCGTTCAACGATCACTTGGCCTCCTGCCGTTACATCGGTTCGGTGGTGTTCGCCGTCGGCTTCGTGTTCACCGTCGTCCGGTTTTGGGCGTCCATGATAAGGGGCGGCAGTGGCGTCAGTGGCAATGGCGAAGATCGGGTGGCTGAGAAACTGCGGCGGGCCGACGAAGAACGACCGTCGCCGATGTCCAAGGTGCAAACCGTCCGAATACCCATCACGGGCACGTTGGAGAATGTACAGCCCGACCCGGCGGCTATAAAGCTCCAGTTCGCCGACAACAGTTGAAAGACTATATTATGCAATTTTAAAACGCAATATTATTGAATATGTTATATTACCGGTATATTATGCTATATCATATATTATACGCTATAATCTGGCTACAACTTAATTTTCACAAGTGCCAGTCAGTGTTTTTCCATTCAACAATGAATCGTAATGTATTGTTCCGTGAATGGTATATTAAGAGGATGGTACAGGGGCGTCTCCAGCCCCTTCACCCTCCCCCCACCACAACAAAAGGACGCCCCTGAGACGGTACATGGACATAAGTTGTTGCATCCGTATTACAAGTGCGTATAACATAGCAAATTTATGAACAGCAGATCACCGTTAGCTCTGTTAGTTTAAAAATTACATTGAATCGACTTATTGTGAAACTTGATGGTAAGAATTTTATCTATGTTTGTATGTGGGTTTTTTTACGATGGTTCAATTTTTAAGTGATCATTTTTAATTTACGCTGTATTTTATACGCAACACTTACTAACAAATTGAACTATCGTAAAAAACAAATGTACAAATAAGTAATAACACAGATAATTTTTTTACCATCAAGTTTTGTAATAGGTCGATTAACTCTAATTTTTAAACTAACGGAGTTAAACATGATCTTCTGAGTGTTCAAATTTGATATGTTACGCACTTGTAAGGCGGGGACAACAAATGGCTGTGTAGAGTCCTTAAGTAGACACCTACTGTTGTAGTATAGATATTGTCGTTATTATTATTATTATTATTATTTTGACAATTATTAGTAGAGTATATAATATTTTATGTACTTAAAAACCTTCTGCTACATGTACAAAAAAAAACTTGAAATATTCAACTTGATATGCTCTTAAAACTCGGAAAATTTGGAAAAAAAGATAGGAAGAGTATGTCTAGCATACATATTTGAGATCAAAGGTTAGTTTTGTAGTAGCATTTTGCTGAATTTTCGGCATGTATCTCCTCTCTCAAAGTAAGGTACGGTTATAACAATTAGCCATAGGTGCAAATTCAGTTTTAAATTTGAGAGGCTGCAAAAAAATTTTAAGCGAATCCTAAGAGACTAGTCCTCCCATCCATTGTTTAAATGTTGTTCTTCAAAACCAAACATATTTTCAACATGTAATTACGAAATAATAATATAAACAAAACAGATTTAGAGTCTGCAGTTATAACAACACTTATATAATGTATACCGCCTCCGTCTAGTGTCTGGTTTCATAAGAAATATGACCTTATTATTGCTACTAGTTACTGCGTATTTATATTTTCAGAATTTCAGACATAATATATATTTTGTAAACAACCAAAATCGTAACATAGGCGATAGGATTACAAATATTGTAGGAACATTATGTATATTGATGGTTTGTAATAATTAAGACTGAAAAAATGTAATGCTGAAATAATTTTAAATCTTGAAAAATACAGTATAAAACGCACAGTAAATCTCAACAAATCCCTTATAAAAATATTTACGGTATGTATAATTCAAAATCATTATTTCAAAAAATATCTACCTATTAGATGTACAATATTTTCAGCTAAAAAATAACATTTAAAATTAAATAGATGAATTATTCATAAAATGTGTGTAAGGCTTAATAGACTGAAATTAAAATAATATCAAAAAAATTAATAAAAACAGCGACAAAATGTTTAAAAAAAAAGACATAAATCAAAAATTCAAAAATTTAATTGATTAATTAGTTATTAGTTTTAAAAAATTTAACCTAATTCATGCTCGGTGATAAATAAGGTATGTTTTACAGCAACCAAAAAATAACGCATTTTCCTACAAATTAAATTCACAGTTCTAATAATAATAATATACCTACTTATATTATGTAAATGTTTAAAAGAAATTATTATCATTATTATTATTATTATTATTATTCTATTAACAAATAACACCTATAAACATAATCCTATACAGTTTTAGGAATTATTTGTCCATAATTTTTGGGTGGGCTATAGGTGATTTAAGGGTGGCTAACAGAGTAAGCCCTACAGACCCCCCTCCCAAAATTTGCACCTATGTGTCGTACATTAGGTAAACGGAATGGCAGCGTCCTATATTTAGATGCAACATTTCATTTTTCGTTATTCCACACAGAGTTTAATGTTGTTAGGAATATTTTTTAACTTATAAATGTACTACTTATCAACAATATCAGTAAGTTATATTTGTGCATGGTAATGTTGTATGATGGTATCGAATTGTTCCACTGGACATTGTTCTTCAAACAAAAATTATATTCTTTCCTTGATATATGTATAAGCAAAATGTATTTATATTTTTTAATAATAATAATAATAATAATAAACAGATGAAAGAGTTTATGGAATCTCCGATCTTCGCCATATGTATTTGCGGTAATAGCATTATATTTGAAGAATCACTGTTTGCCCTTGATATCGATTATTTTTATTTTTTTATCATTATCATACGACATTTCAAAGAAAAATAATATTTATTTATTAAGCATGCAACGTATGACACAAATACATCTTATGTAACCACTTTTTAACTATACGAATAACCATTATTATAATATTATACAGTCCAATTATTCATAATAATATAATATATTATACAAATCTAAATAAATATAATTTTAATAATATTATGTTATCCTACTTTATTAGTAATACATTATTTATTAAGTTTATTTTAATTAATATTGATCTAAATAAATGTTAATATTTTTTATGATGTGGTATGAATATTTTATATAATTTAATTAAAGGCTGTGGTTTGTTATTTGCATAAAATTGGATATTGGTTTATATTTTATAACAGATTTGTGTGCGATGCGTCAACACTTATGTTTGTATTTATTTTTTGGTAAGCAATGTAGTCAATGTAAGCAATGTTTAAGAAAATAACAAAAAAAAGTCTTACATATTATAATTCATAGTTATATCCAAAATATATGAATATCATACTGATATTGTATTGTAACACAAATTTATTAACACAAATTCAACAGTACAGGTTTTTTAAAAAAATATTTTAAAATCAAAAATTAACTGCTAGATAACGCTATTTTTTATAAACACAAAATCATAATGTACCTATGTATACATCACGGCATAGAAACCACGATGTAAACTGATTTTTGTATATTTTATTTTTATAACACACATGATTGATTGTTATTTGTAATGGTGCGCCGTGTATAGTAGAGTAAAAGTTCCTTCCCGAATATTTTGTGTTACATTCACATAAATTAAAAATTGATTTAACCCATGTACTTATCTACACAATGTATACACAATACACATATTTATATAAGTTAATTCATATTTATAATGTTCATGGTTCAATGGTTGTAAAAATAAAAAATACAGTTAACATAATAAACTACCTATTCAAAATGTATTTAAATAGCATTATTTTTGAATTGTAATAGATACGTGTTTACTATTATAGTGTTTAAATTTATTTTATTTAAAAATAACAAGAACGATACTTACCTATAAATATTATTGTCAAAAAACATATCACTTTATACATTTATTTATTTGTTCAGTAATTATTAATTTAAGTTTTATTAGGAACCTTTTTATGATATTAGCATAAAAATACTTTATAAATTTAAAATCTTGATGGTCGATAATTGCAAATTAGAAAAAATATAGGAATACCTGAACATAACAGTCAACGACAAATTATCTTCCAAGTTTAATCTCTCTGTTGAAAAGTGTTATTATAGGTAGTAAGTGGTATTATAGATACCTACTGAAGTAGTATTTTCATTTATTCATATAAATATGTATACAATTACATCGTTTACAAAATGTATTTTATTTATCATAAAAATTATATATATTTAAAAAAACTAATTTGTTGGATACATCAAAGTATTAAAATTAAATGTATGACTTAATTAAACTTGAATTATTATATTTCAGTTACTACTATAAATTATTCAACAATTATAAATAACTTTCATCAACTTAAATATGAATTGTGGTTTGTGTAAGATATTTAGACTATTAATATCTATTAATTGTATCAATTTATAAGTTATAACTAAATGAGTAATATCTCCTTCATGCCCTTGAATGTAACGACATTTAATAATTTACAAAAATTGTCGTTATATAATAATATTTAACTTTTGTAATTTCTATTATACAATAATTGCGGAATATTAAGCTTTGCAAAGATATTCTAAAAGCTTAAAATCATAACGATTATCATAAACATTCGGTTTGAATTAATATAATATTAATTATTAAAAATACATGTTAATATAATAAATTTTGAACTTCCATTATATATTATATTATACTACATTCTCAATAATTAGTCAAATATGTAGACATATAATCAGGCATATAATTATTGTCCCATAGGTACATTATTATTTATTTCAAACATGTCCCAATTATTATAAGTTATAACTTAACCCAAACTAATATTCTATTTCGACTGTATTTTGATGACAAACGAATTAATTTAGTGATTGGATAATACAATATTAATACAACCAAATTATAGCTGAGCAATCAATACATTGGTATTATGTATATTGTATTACATATTAGAGTTTATAATAAAATTGGAACTCTAGTTTAAAAAACTACTATTAGTTCAAAACTAAAATTGTAGTTTAATAATTATTAAGCTAATATCTATACAAATAATGTAGTGACTGCTTATACAGATATTGTCAATTGCACACTTTATGAACTTGATGTCTTGGTTCATATGTGTGTTTATATTTATTTCTGGATAAAATAACAATGTTTATGTACATTACTTAAAAAATCATGAATTGTTAAAACCCAATATTGTTTGTAACTATTTAAGGCTTATTTTATACATTTTAGGAGAAATTTAACCATTAAAATCTGTAAGTTTATTAATCAATCATATAGAATATAGATACACTATAATGTACCATTTTTGTTTTAGGACAATAACAACATAATTAGGTACTAAAAAGTAAAAGTACTATAATATTATGTACATATCGTGCAAAACATTATATTGAAGTTTTTTTTTAAATATAGAACTAGCTGAACCCGTGCACTTCGTTCCGTTAAATGCAACTCTATATGATTCAAACTTTGTTCAATTTATTAGAATATGTATTTGAATGATGTTCATTGGAAAATTTATCGGCTTTCACGAATTTCAAAATACTCGTGAAAGGACCAATTTAAAATTTATATTTCTATGGTGATATGGGATTGTCCCTTTTAGACTTTAGTAGAACGATTGTGCATGTTCGTGTGATGATTTATTTTGTACTTTTACTGCATATGTAAATTATGTATTTGCGTGCCAATTGGGCTATATTACTGGGTTTCAAATGTTTGAATGAAATGCTTATGATTGAATAAATTATTTTTATTTTTATTGTTCAAAACTTCTCTGTATACTATATTAGATTATGTGATGTTATCATATAATAATAATAATGACATAGTTAAATTAACGCGTGTATGTTGAATGTGATTAAAAATTTACGAATGTTTCATGGCAACGTTATTCGTGCGTAGTGCGTATATATAGGTATATACAATTTACACGTTTATTTTAATTATTATTAATAGTTACTAATTATTTATTTATTTGATGGGACTAATATGCCTATGACACTCACAAAGAATGTGGGTTTCTATTGATACAAAAATTATCAAAATCGGTTCAGTAGATCCTTACTTGACCACTAACAACGTCACAACCATGACCTCTTTATAAAATAGTATAGATTACAATGACTTTTAACAAAACTTGATATAATATTACTATGACAAAAATAAACATAACTTGAGATCATATTTAAAGTTGATACACAGAGTCATGGGGATAGGATTGAGAAGACGCTACACACAATGGATGCGTTGTCTCCGTCATACAACCGCACAACAAGGCAACATTTTTTTACACAATAATCTATTTTACTTTGTTATTTTTAAAATTAAAATGAATTGACTTATTATGAAATGTAATAAGACTGAGACAACACATTGCAGGTGTAGCGAAATAAATGGTAGTAACTACCTATGATTGTATAACATGGAGAAGTAGCAAGTGTGGGAATTTGAGATTTTTTTACAGTTGTTACCTATATTTATTGAGTTATCAACCGAACTTTCTTATTTAGTTATTTATAATAGAAATTGTTTATTATTCATCTGACATATATTTGTAATTTGTATGTACATTAGTCAATAATTTCGATAATGATATTTTAAAAAGTTATTTTCAGTAAGAATTTATAACTTAAAAAATGTCTGATAAAGCATTTTAACTTAAAGGTTTGAATAACAGTTAAATTAACTAATTTTATGTCAACTTTTTAAATTTCAATTGAATTCTATCTATTAAAAATGTCAACACTAATGTGAAATACCGTTTTATTGTTCTAAATGTCAAAGCATTATA